GGAAAGTTTTAAAAATACACAGAACCGAATGAAAGTGAGAATACCACACACCAATATCGGTGGCGCGCAGCTCTGAAAGGGAAATTTATGAGCTATTTGCTCATACTAAAAAAGAGAAAGTTGTCAAATAATTTAAGCTTCCATTTAAATAATCTGGAAAAAGAAGAACAAAGTAAAGCAAATTTAGAGGAGGGAATAGCATAATAAATACAAGAAAAAAATCAAAGAAACTGAAAACAGGAAAAAAAAAACCCAAAATCAATGAAACAAAAATGTGATCCTTTAAATATAGCAAATAAAATACGCAAACCTCTAGCAAAATGAGTGAGAGAGAGACTGATATGACATAATTAACAAAATCAGAAAGGAAACATTATCATTACAGACCCTGCAGAAACCGAAAAGATAAAGGGAACAGTAGTAACACTTCACACATGAATTTGACCATTTCAAAGATACAGACAAGCTTCTCAGAAAAGCACAAGCCACTACAACTCACGCAGTAAGATATAAATACTGTGAATAAAACATCTGAATAACTCTGTAACCTACTAAGTAAACTGAATTCTTAATTGTAAAATTCATATACCAATAAAAAATAAAGAAATAAAAAAATAAAATTCATATAGAAGAAATCTCCAGATCCTGATGGTTTTACTAGATATGCCTGCCAAGCACTGAAGAAAATTTAACACCAATTCTACCTAAAATTTTCCAGAAAATATCAGCCTTAGCAAGACTTTTCTAGATATGTCTCCTCATGTGAGTGAAGCAAAAGCAAAAATAAATTATTGGGGCTGTACCAAATAAAAAGCTTTTACACGGCAAAGGAAATAATTAACAAAATGAAAAAGAAATGAAACCTACTGAATGGGAGAAGGTATCTGCAAATGGTAGATTCAATAAGCGGTTAGTATCCAAGATATATAAACAACCTAGACAACTCCATGTCGGAAACCCAAATTATGCAATTAAAAAACGGGCAGAAAATCTGAATATGCATTTCTCAAAAAAAGACATCCAGATGGCCAACAGGTGCATGAAAAGATGCTCAACATCATTAATCATCTGGGGAATGCAAATCAAAACCACAATGAGATACCACCTTACCCCAAGGGAACACACCCCAACTCCTTATATAAAGTCAATATTATCTGATACCAAAACTGGATCAAGACAAAAAGTAAACTTTGTCAGGGAGATCCCCGGGTGGCCCAGCGGTTTAGCGCCTGCCTTCGGCCCAGGGCGTGACCCTGGAGACCCGGGATCGAGTACCCCGTAGGGCTCCCTGCATGGAGCCTGCTTCTCCCTCTGCCTGGGTCTCTGCCTCTTTCTCCCTCTCATGACTAAATAAATAAGATTAAAAAAAAAAGAAGAAGAAGAAGAAAACTTTGTCAGCTCTGTTTCCACGGTGTCCAGGCAATCATGGGGATGACAACACACGTGTGCCACGGCAACGTGGCACATGGATGCACCAAGGCGTCCAGACAAAACCTGCTCCCCGCTCAGCGCCAGGAAGGGCCTGGGGGTGACCGCCCAGGAGCACAGGGCCGGGAGCAGGGGCCCCTCCCCACCTGTGTGTGCGACCTGCACATCGGCGACTCTGGAGAGTCACCCTGCGCCCACATCCCCGGGACAAACGGGAGCGGGAATGGCGCCTTCCCCGGACGCCCACATGGCTCATGGGTGACCACCGGGCCCGGAGACGACGGTCACTGCTAAGTCAACATTTGGGTGGCCACGGGCTTTCCGAGCCCTCTATTTGCTTCACGAATCAGTTTTGATCCTGGAAACTGTGCGGGAACTGGTGCATCTCGGAGTTTTCAAATCTCCTGCTAGTGACGAATCCTGAGTGTTTCCCTTTTGTCTGCTTTTAGCACGGCTCTATCTGCCGCCGAGCCTTCCGTCCCTAACACCCGCCTTATGCCCATTCTTTCTTCTTGATCAGCTGCTCTAAGGCTTTCCCATTTCGAAGACCTAAGGTTGGACGTCTTTGTTCTGGAAGCGAAAGACCCTCCAAGTCCCTTTGGAGTATCTGACCCCTGGGGCCCGCAAGCCCTCGCCGTATGCCAAGCCTACTCCCGTGTGACAGACCCGACCCCCAGGCCCCAACAGAGAAGACATGGCAGGTCAAAGTCCGGACTCGCCCGTTCTTGGGCCAGCCAGAGATGCATGGACATGACCCTCACCCTCCTGTTCCAAAAGCACCCTGTGAACCACCAAGAGAAATGACTGAAATGTCTGAAATATGGAACTATTGAATTTTTACACCAAGAGAAAGAAGGAGAGAGAAACACATGTGGGGACACGGGGACCACCCCGGAGGAGACACCGGCCTCTCCACGGTGAGCGGCCCGTTCGCACCCACAGGGACAGAGCGTGGGCCAGGAGGGGTCAAACACATACGCCACAAAGAAATACGAAGGGCAACCGTGTGGAGAGAGGCCCTCCCACGTCAGTGAGGGCCAGGAGGCACAGCAAGGCCGGTGAGGAAGTGGAGGATGGACAAAGAAGACCAGACTCCTCTCCTGGACGCACGCCAGGCCCCCGACCACCAGGCCCGCCTCAGCCGGCCCCCCATGGACTGGCGGGCCCCGGGCCCACGCTGAGGCCACCGCTACCGGAGCCACGCGCGATCGTGGATAACTTCGAAGGAGAACATGGAACACGGCGTAACCGGGAGACCCCCCGGAGCCGGGGCGAGGCACGAAGTCTCGCCTGCTCTCCCGACAACACAGCTGAGGCCTGCTCCCAGGCGATGAACAAGGATGCTCGGGAGGAGTCATGTTTTCAAAACACAGAGTCTAAACGTCGGGGCCGAGAACACAAAGTCCCGCGCGCACGCCGGGGAGGAAGGCACAGCGGCCTCAAGTTACATTCAAAGCACCAGTGGATCCGTCCGTGGGAAAATGCAGAAAATCTAAATATCCAGACCCAGAGTGACAACACAGTAACAGCAGTCACCGGGCTGACGGGTCGGGGTGACATCTGCCATCTTGCAGAGTTGCTGCACCCACACGCCGGCCCTGAGCCTCCCGGTGTCTGGGCTCCCCTCTCTGTCGGATGAGCCCTTGCTGGCGGAGCTGCCACGAGCACGCAGAGTGGCCCCGTGACGGTAGGAGTGCGTGTGACCGCTGGCCCCTGGGGCCGGGGCCGGGGGTGCGGTTAGAGCGCAGGCCTGGGAGTCTGCATGCACGTGCGGTCCACGCCGCGGCCACCACTGCAGCATCGCATGCGGCCGACCCCAAGCTCGGGGGCCCAACAGGCCCAGAGCCTCACGTGGTCGTCAGGAAAGGCAGCCACGGGAAGAGAAGAGATGAAGACAGACACACGCTGAGCACCGAAAGAAAGACATCCAAAAGGAAATGCAGAGGAGATGGAAGACAGGAGGAAGAGCAAAGGAAAATTCAGAAGAGAAAGACACAGCGGCGGCCCCCAAACGTCGCTTCTTCAAGGATGTCGGGGAGGCATCCAAGGGGGGTCCACGCACTGCACGTGCAAGCATCTCAAAAATGGCCAAGAGACCCTCAGTTGGCGGGGCTGATGTCAGAAGAGGCGCTCAGGGACCAGCCCCGGGGACTCCGGATCGTACGCACGTGCGTGCATGCATGCACACGCACACTCAGCCACACACTCGTCTGCACACATGCCACATACTTACACTCACATCTGCACACGCATCCACACACATCCACACATATATGCGCACACCCGACGTTTGCATGCATATGTTCACGTATCCCCACACACATGTACACACATGCACACATTCATGTACAGACACTGGCATGCACAGAGTCCACACGAATGCAAATCCACATGCGTAGACATACACAGACATGGACACTTGCACACATGCTCCACTATACACATACACATGTGTACAGACACAAATGCACACGTTTCCGCACATGTGGCCCACACACATGCATACCACACATGTGCACGTACGTATACACGCAGACGTGGATCTCCCACAGACAAATCCATCCAGATACACACACACAATCTAAGCATACGTACGTCATCTGCTTCTAAACCACAGCCTACCTTCACTGTAAACACCAGGTATAGTTATAGTATCTATAGTATCCATAAACAAACACACGCGTGTGCGTGTTTTAGAAGGACAGCCGGTACCCCACGCCCTGCGTCTGCCATAGAGTGGGCTCTCACGTACGGAGCAATCCCACCCACCACCCCACAGAAACAAGGCTCAGCACCGACGCTGTGGGGAAGCCTCGCCTGAGGCTCCCAGCCCACCCGGCACCCCTGACGGGGATGAGCCCAGGGACTCCGGGCAGTGTGCACCGGTCCGGCTCGCCGTCTAGGTGGGGGTGGGTGGTCCCGCGGCCCCAGCAGGCTATGGCAGGGGCCGGGCAGGGGGCCTCCCCAGGTTCACAGCCGAGCTGCTGGCCAGGGTCATGGGGACACCCTCGGGTCCGTGGAGCTTTAGCCTCTGGCCGGCGGGTCAGGGCCCACCACACCTGTGCCAGGGCCGGTCAGGACCTGCCTCACCACCCCCCCCCACCACCCCGGCTCCAAGGGAATGGATTCCAGCTGGATCCCACCCAACCTCCCCGCCACAGGTGAAACCCCCGCCCTCCGTGCCGGCCTTAGAGCAGCTCAGCCCCTGCAGGGCAACAAACCCACGGGGCGAGCTCTGCAGCTCTCCCTGCCCCCTCCCAGCCCTACAGTGTCACCTGGACACACCGTCTGACCAATGGGGAGACTGACACTGGGGCCACAGAAGGTGGCAGGTCCTCCCCCTCCACGTCTATGGAGTCCCCACTGCCACTGCCCTGTCTCCTCTTGCCTGAGGCCCCTGAGCATCTCCACCCCGAGCTCCGTGCTCCCTGCTGGGTGCTCCCGGCCCTGCACCCCGGGCCCACACTCTGCTGTCCGCGCCCCCCACCTGGGCCCATGCCCCCAGCTGTGCTCCCCACCCCGTGTCCCCCGCTGGCCCCGTGCCCCTGCAGGTGAGAGCCCTCCGTGCCCACCTGCTTCTCGTTCTCGTCCTCCAGCCTCAACCGGTCTTCACTGTAGCTGCGGGCCTGCAGGAAGGCTTCCCTTTGGGAGCGCTCGGCCAGGACCCTCACGAAGACCCCGTACATGTTCACGCTGAGGAAAAGCAGGGCGTTGGCTCCGAGCTGGAAGGGAGAGAGCACAGGGCACCTTACGCGGGGGGCGCGAGCTCGGCGGGGCTCCTCAGCCTCCACACCCAGCCCGTGTCCCCAACGCACTGCCCAGGTGGCCACGGGTGCCGGCGAGGCTGCTTCCCGGACCAGGAGCCGGGGCGGCAGGTGCACCCCTCGTCCCGAGTGGGCCGCCTCATGCGGTGGCAGCACAGCACACAGGGAGCTCCCTATCCCCGGAGCCAGGCTCACCTGCTGCGCTCTCCTCCCGGCACCGGGACGGCGCCTCCTACACACCACGCAGCCAGAAAACCGCTGTCCCGCGAGGGTCCCCGGGAGCCGCCCGAGTCCCCGTGTGACCCGCTCCCCGCCCTGTGACCAGCCGGCCGTGCTGCTGCGACCCTGGTCATCTCCAGTCCCAGGAGCCCACCACTGCGCCCTTGCTGGAGGGCTCCTAGCCTAAAGCAGGCTCACGGCACCGGGGAGGTGCTTCTGTGGTGCCTGCAGCAGCCTCCCACCGGGCCCGGGGGCAGCAGGGGCGGCGCGGCCGTCGGGGGCCCGTGCCCTGTCCTGGGGCATCTGCTCAGGCCACCTGCTCAGCCGGGGCTCAGCTCATGCCAGTTGTTCCTGAAGCCATGAGTCGGGGGCGGCGGGCAGCGTGGGTGCGAGAGGCCGCGGACAGGGTTCTGCAGGGTCAAGGTGCTCCTTCACGTGCCCCGGCGCTGTTGTGGGCGCCTTTCCACCCCCCCACATGCTGACAGGTCCCCGCGCGGAGCACACGTCTTTTCCGGGCTGACACACGACCCGTCTGGTCTCCCCATGCCCCCGCCCAGCCACGACCATGCGTTTGGCAGCAAGGGGACCGGCGAGCCACGCGCCCCCCCAGCCCGGCGCCCCACAGCCCCCACGCGGGCACCCCGCTCAGGGGCACAGAGTGGGAGGTCGGGACCCCACGGGTTGCCCTGCCCTGGGCCAGAGGCGGGACACGGGCCAGCAGGAGGCCGTCGGGCCAGGGGAGAAGCGAACAGCAGAGCAGCGGGGCCCAGGTTACCGCCCTACACGCACCTCATCACTCCTTCCCTTCCCTCCCACCACGATGATCCACCAGGGAAACTGAGGCCCCTGGCCGGTCAGCCTCATGAGCGCTGGTGAAGCAGCCCGTGTGCAGGAGGAGTCCGTGTCCAGCGGGCCGGCAGGGGTGCTCCTCTGCCTGGCGCTCTGCATGCACCCGGGCCCGGGGCCTCCCTGCACCCCCACCTGCCGGCCGGCGCTCCCCTCCCTCCTGGCGTCGCCCACAGCCCTCCCCAGCGGGCCACAGGGCACCCTCAGCGTCGGCCACCTAACCAGCCACCAGTGATGGGGGTGATGCCCGGAGGTCACCTGCCGACAGGTGTGACTGGGGGCGGGGGAGTTCGCATGGGGAACTGTGGGGGGTGGGAGACACCCCACCTGGGGCTGGGCAGGGCGTATCGGGGTCCAGATGAGCACTCCAAGACCCACAGGTTGGCAGGGCCACAGGGCAGGGGGGGCAGAAGCCACAGGGCCGGCCAGGGAGGGCCCGGCATAATCTGCTGCCTCTCTCGTCCGGCCTCTGGGTCCCCGCCAGGAGGCCGGCCTGTGGAGGAGGGCGCCCCGAAACCCTGCTTGCCCGTGCCAGCGCCCTCCCCCCGTGAGGAAACCCAGCCCTCGCGGCCGCCCCATCCCGCTGCCCACTCGGGCCCCCGGCGCTGCCCTCCTCGTTGCTCCACAGCCTCGTCAGAGCAGCCATGCCCACTGCTGCCCCACGTGGCACCTGGCGCAGGCTGGGCCAAGCCACAGGAGCGGGGCGTCCGCACCCCTCACGCACCATGCTCCAGCCTCCCTTGCTGCAGCGCTCCCCCAGGGGGGCTCCAGGCAGGGGTCCCAGGGAGCGAGGCCCCTGCCCTGGCCGCTTTCGGGCCACTGCCCCAGTCACCACCTGCAGAGCGGTGGCACCTGGCTGCACAATCACAGGGGTTCCCGGCAGGTGACTGGTCCTCGCTGCCCCCACCGTCATTGCCACCAACGGACACAGCAGCGCTCAGGACGTGCGGCCCCGAGCTGAAGGGACTGCTGCACACTCAGCAGCCCTGAGCTTCTGGCCTCCGAACACCTGCCCCACGCCCCCGGCCTCCTGTACCTGCCCCATGCCCGCGGCCTCAGCACACAGGCTCCTCAGGACTGCCCTGCTCTCCGCTTTCCAAAGCCCACACTGCTCTGGACACAGGGCCCTGTCAGGGCCCCGAGGCTACAGGTGTCCCGCCCTGGAAGCCCCACTCCGTGTTCTCTCCTCCTCCCGCCTACCCGCTTCCCGCCGCTCTCCTACTCTGGGAGAAACACGCAGTCCATGTGACGGGCCCTGCTCGGTCCACACCAGGGCTTGGGGTGCTCCTCGTGCGGCAGGAGAGTCCTGCACTCGCCCCTCCTCCCTCGGGGCCCGCACCTGCCACCCAGGCCACAGGACTCCCTCTGCCCTCCAGCTGGGACCCGCAGGTTCCGCTGCATCCCCCTCGGCAGCTGACACACCGACCTGCGGTTCTTCCTCTCGTCTGAGGACAACACGCTTCTCCGGGCCCCTGATGTCCCAGCCCGTTCTGCGCCGTCCGCAGGCAACACCCCGGGAAAGGCCCCCGCCTCCTCGGCCCCCCCAGCCCACCCGCCCTCGCGGCGGCCCAGGCTCTGCCCAAGTCAGGTCCCAGCACCCAGCACCCCTCCCCGCCCCTTGGGCCCGTGCACATGTCTGGGGCCTCTCCACTGACAGCACCCGTCCTCCCCCCCCCCCCCCCCGTGCCTCTGCACTCCACGTGGGACCCCACGCCCAGGCCAAGGAGCCACACCTCCAGCCTGGCCCCGCCCCAGCCCGCTGCGCCCCTCCCGCCCCGCTCGGGACAGACCCCTGAAGGGCCCCCCGACCCCTCCCGCTGCTCCCCCCAGCAGACCCCTGAGCCTGGGATGAGCCACTCCCAAAACGGGCACCCTGGTGTTTGCTGAATGAATAAGGAAGGGCATGTGGGTGGCAAGGGGTAGATGTGCGCCACCGCCTGCTCCTTGCTGTCCCGGATGAGACCCCACGAGACGTTTCCCAGTCCTCACATCTGTGGTCAGGTGGGTACATCTGCGGTCAGGTGGGTGGGTGGGCAGGGACCCCAGCTGTCCCATGACCCACAGGACATACAGAGGCAAGGCCTGGAGGCAGCCTGACGTCTGAAGTGACATGCTTCTGGAGTATGCTGAGCCTGGGGGGAGGCCGGGGGGCGCCACGGGGGTACGGGGACATGGCCTGCACACACGTGCATATGCGGACAAGGTCTCTGAGCCCTGGGAACAGCACTGGGGGAGGGGACAGGCCAGCGTCCCTCCCAGGCACTCCCTGTCTCCCGCAGGCCTGCAAGGCCAAGGAGCCTCTGAGTCCACTCGCACCCCAACCCTGCCTACATGGGCCGCAAGGACAATCCCAGAAGAGCTCTAGGCCTGTGCCCGCTCGTCAGGGTCCGCCGGCGGCCCGAGGCCTCTCCTGGCTCCTGAAAGCACCAGCACCCCATGGCCCTTCCTCACTGGGGGGGGGGGGGGCAGGGTCGGCGTGGAACTATCCCCAGTGCTCTTCCTGACTCCTGATCCCCCGGGGTCACAGGTGGGAGAAGATATGGTCCCTGTGCTCAGCCCACACCCCACCCAGGCTCCCCGCAATCCCACCTGGCCTCCCTTACAAACGTGAGACGGAGGTCGGGCTGTGGAGCATGGGCCGGCTCTCACAGCTGGTGAGTGAGCAGACTTGGGCCTGTGTGGTCTGGGCCCAGACCCCTCACTGCGCTCTCCCGCTGGGGCCTGCTTCCAATGAATCCTCTGGACGATCACTGGCCACAAAGTCAAAGGCCCAGGTTCAAATCCAGCTCTGCCCACTGCCAAGGGACCCCATGCAAATGGGACCACCACTCTCACTTGCAGGGTGCTGACGTGGGTAACACCCCGCTGTCCCCCTCTCCCTGCCACTTCTCAGTGAGTGAAGAAACCAACAAGGAACTGCTCCACCACAAACACCATCTCCTTCCATAATCACGGTGTCACCAGCCGGAATCAAATCTGTAGACATACACCCCCCATTCAAAACATCCATGCATCCATCCACCCACTCACCCAGCCATGGACTCATCCAGCCAGGTCTTACCCACCCGCCTACTCACCCAGCCACCCATTCACCCACCCATCCACCCATCTACCCACTCACCCATCCACCCACTCACCCATTCACCCACTCACCCATCTATCCAACCACCCACCCATCCACCCACCCATCCACTCACTTACCCATCCACCCACTCACCCGTCCATCCACTTCCCCATCCAATCCATCCATCCACGCATACATACATACATCATCTACCCACTCACCTATCCATATCATCCATCTATGCCCTCCCACCCATCCATCCCCATGCACCCAACCATCAACCCACCGACCCATCCATCTGCACCCACCGATCCACCCATGCACCTATCTATCCGCCATCCATCCTTGCATCCGTCCATCCACTCAAGCACAACAGGAGCAAGGCTTTGGATCTGTGTCCACTCCAAGATGGGCTGGCAGGGCCTCCTCGCCTTAGACAGGCCAGGTGGCTCCAGGAGTCCCGGGAACCTCAAAGGACAACAAGGGTGACAACTAAACATTGACGTCAAAGCACTTCTGGAGAGGACGACGCATGCAAGAGCTCTGGCTCGGAGGCACACGTGGCCCACCCCAGTCCACACGGCACAGCCACGCACATCCGCTACAGAGAAGACCCCTCCGTCAGATAGAAGCTGAGGCCACAGTCAGGGGATGATCTGTCCAAGGCGAAGCTGAATTACGCAGAGTGGGAGCGGCGCAGAGCTCACCGCCCGCCCCACGTGGGCACCACACCAACACCTGTGTGAAGCGTCCGGGGCCTGTGTGAAGTGGTAACGGACGTGGCTCAGGGGGAAGCCGCCCCTGGCCCGGGAGGCAGCGCCACTGTGAA